GTCAGCCTCCTGAGTCAGCAGGACAGGAGCTGGGGCCTCGGCCCCAGGGGGCATTCCTCATCTTGCCTGCTACCTCCCCATCCTTCCATAGAGCATCCAACCTGCCAGCAGGTTCAAGGCTCTGGTCCAGCCCTTAGCTGGTAATCACGGGCTTCGAAGGGTTGTGGCACAGAGAAGGCAGCAACCGGTTGCTATCCATCTCCACGGAGAACAGAGGACAGGGCTCCAAATGCAGCAGGAGGGACTCTGGTTAGATTCCAGAAGGAACTTCCTACAAAATGTTGTTGAGTCTTGGAATGATCAAGTAACTGGAGGAAGCTATGGTACCTCTCCCGCTGGTTAGTTGTAAGTAAGAGTTCAGTTATCCAGACAAGAGCTCACTCTACTAGTTGCCTTTGGGAGGAAATATTAGATTAAAGTGACTCAGCTGTCCTGAGTCCTTTTCTCCTCCAGGCACTGTTGTTTAGAGTATCCCACATCTCCTAGACCAGTCCAGTCTAGGACATAGTGTGGGGTTTGTGGAAGAATGGAATGAGGTCAGGCTGTGGGACTGCATCCCACCTGTTATAAGGTCTCGGACAGGTCCCTTCCTGCCCCTGAGCCTCAGTTTCCCCATCAGCACAGGAAGGCCAGTACAGATCACCTCTGATGGCTACGGGTAACATCTTGTAATTGGGTTTCTCCTTCTGAGATCCCCTCCTCCCCAAGCAGCCCTATTCATTCCTTGGGTAGTGCAGAAGGGTCAGGGGTTGGGGCAGAGATGGGGTCCAAATCCTAGATTTGCTGCTTTATCAGCTTCGGGAGAACCTTGGCAACTGCTGTGCCTTCCTTGAGCCTCAGTTCCCTCCTCTGTAAAAAGGCTGACAGCACCTCTCTCATAGCTTTAGGTGAGAAAACAGGCCTGGCACTTTGGCTAGCCCTTGCTAAATGGCTGCTGTCATTATTTTTTTTTAGCTCCTAGCATACTGTGTGTGCCTCTCAACGCGGGCCAGCTGCTGGGGAGAGGGAAGGCTCCTTGACATGGCTACCCTGGGCTGGGCTCAGTTCAGGGGATGACAGTCCCCGCTTGGGTTGGGACTTCTCAGAGCTGAGGTCACCTAAGGCTTGGAGGCCTCTGGCACTGAGACCAGTTCTAGAAGGGCAGAGTGAAGAGGACATTGGCCACTCCTCCCGTGTCACTTCTGGCTTCGCTGTGCCTTTTTTAAATCTCCGGAAGGGCACTGACCGACTGGAACAGAACCGGCAGTGGGGGCGAGCCAGATGTTCTGCACACTCATCACAGGCCTCACGCCTGGACCCCGAAGGAAAGGTGGCACCAGACAGCCAAGGATATGGCAAGAAGAGGGAAACCTTTATTTGGTTAAAAAAGGTACAGACAGCAAACAAGCAGCCCCCAGCCGTGGGCTCAGCAGACTTCCTAGGCCCGGCCCAGTTTCCATTAGCTCCTCTGAAGAACGCCGGGCTGTGGAGCCAGCCCGGTCCCTCAGTGCCCGGAGCAAAGGGTACAAGCATCCCCCTGGCATCGCACCTACTTGGGGTGGTGGGGACGGAGGGGGCCGTGGGAACAGTGTCAAACCGGTTGTGCTGAGAACAGTCACCAAACTTGTTCGGCAGCGTCATCAACCACCAACACCCCAGAGGCTCCCGAAGGAACCTGCTCAGCCCCACTGTGGCTCTGCCTGACTCTGGGGGGGGCAGGCTGTAAGGCAAGATTCCTGAAGAGTCTTGACACCTTACAAATCTGGGGAAGGGGAAGGGGAAGGGGAGTGGAGACGGGGGTGAGTTTCAGCGTCGTATTGTATCACCGTGCTGACAGCTGTGGTATGGCTTTCTACACTCTGGCGTGGAGTGGGGGTGGGGGCAGAAAGGCCAGCCCCCGCCCCCTGTGGGGGGCTCTGGAGAGCACAAGGGCGGGGCAGGCTTGGGGGCAGACCCTGTAGGCACGGACGGTGGCAGGTGGGCCACAGGTTAGGCAGGTGGAGGTGCCGGGTGCCGGGCTCCCCTCAGGCCGCTCCTGGAGAGGCAGAGAGCAGCAGTCCTCAGGAGGTCCTTAAGCCCCCGCACACACTGGAGATCCCCGCAGGACAGCAAAGAAGGAGAAGAGAGAGGGTTAGCGGACCCGGGAGGAGACAGGAGGCCTGCGGGGGTGCCGCCTGCTCTCCCGGCACCTGCCTCTTCCCCGCGGGAGGGCCGCGGCTGGGGCAGCAGGCAACGAAGACGACGCAGCAGAGACACAGGCAGGGGAAGCTCAGCGGGGACGGAAGCAGGACACAGGTGTTCGTGACTGAGGGCTCCTGCACACCAGGACACCGAGAACAGGCCCAAGCACCTCCGAGCAGGTCCGCCGCCCCTCCCCAACCTCACCCTTCACCTCCTGCTCCGGTGGGAGCTGCTTCCTCAGTACAGAGCAGGGCTGGGCCCTCAGCCCTGCCTTCACGCCCCCCGTCCTTCTGCTTGGGGGGCAGGGGGGAGCCCTGGGGGCCCTACCGCCGCCAGCACACACACCACACCGCACACCAGACAGATGAATGGGCTCCATGGGGTTGGCAAGGCATGCGATGGGGATGAGATGGCGTGTGAGGGGACTAGGCGGTGCTGGCCGACAGGGGAGACACGGTCTTACCAGCTAACCCTCTGCAAAGAGGCCTGTTAGCTCCCCTCAGGCTGTGCAGGAGATGGCAAAATCCTGACAGGTGTCCTCCTGGGGGAGATACCAGAGAGGTGGGCCAGGGTTACGAGTCGTCTGGCTGGGCCCTGCTGCTCAAGGCGGGGCTGGGGGCCAGGGAGGCTCCGGCTCGCAGATTGGAATCTAGGGTCTCTCTCATAAACATTTTCTTAGCTGAGCGGTCACTGGCGGTCAGAGTGAAAAGGCAGCAAGGAAAAAGAACCCGGGGGTCTCCAAATCCCGGAGGCAGGGGAAAGTAGAGGGGACAAAAAGGAGACAGGATGGCCTCTTCTTACATGCCTATGGGGGCCACCTTGCTCAGTCTCCAGCGGACAGACTCGGCCAGGAGAGGAGACCCTTAGCCACATCACTGGCCTTCCTGCCTTCTGTCTCCCCAGGAAAGACCAAGTTTGGCTGAAAGAACAGAGGGCGGCCAGTCGGAGCCTCAGCAAAGAAGGAGCAAACAAAAACCAAACCAAAGCAAATCAACTCTTAAAAACGAAAATTTTATTACAAGCAGGAACAAAGAATGCTGGCTTAAATAAAAGGCAGGGGGCTTCCCCTCCTCTAGCCAGCCCCCTCCCCACTTCCCAGTGCCACTGCAGCATGGCCCGGGGTCCTGGTGCTGGGGCGAGGCTGTTTCTCCTGGGGGGGACCCTCTGCAGCTGCCAGTTCTCAGCTGCCTGTGACCCACTAGCTTCTGCAGCAAGGAAGGGCAAGAGGCGAGGACTTCCTAGGTCACTTTCCAAGGGCTTCAGCCCACTTGAAGGGCCAAGGAGGGAGACAGAACAATCTCCTATCTACTTTGACAAGAAACTACAGTTCCCCGCGGAGAAGAGACGTCCTTTGACTTTGGGGCCCAGACGTAGGCCAACCTCCACTCGCTTCTCGGCCCACCCTGCTCCCTCCTCCCTTTTCTCCGGATGGAGTCCTCCAGCTGGCAGAGAGTCCCTGTTCTCTGGCCGCTGGCACCAGGTCCCATACTCAGAGCCGGGAGGAGGGTGTGCGGCTTGTAGAGTGGCAGCCGCTCCCCACAGCCATTACCCCATCTACCACGCCCAGCCTCAGCCAGTCTGGGCAGGTCCCAGGCTTCCTGATGTCCGAGGAGGAAGGGAAGATAGGAGGGTGGGGGCTGAGCTGCAGCGGGGAACCCAGAGGTCTCTTGCGATCACTGCACAGGCTCCCTGTTGCCGTGGCTCAGGCCGCTCCTTGCTGCTGCCAGCTGACACCCGAGGGGGATGGCGGGGAGAGGGGCAGCCCAGGGGATGTAGGGAAGCGGGAGCCAGCCGCATTCATACAAGGGCACACGCGAACACAGGCACACACACGCACTCACAGCCAGACGTTCTCTTATAAATTTATAAAACCCAACTTGCTTTTTGCTAATCTTTAACCTGGCACTACACAGATAGCAATGTGGCCGACTGTTTTTTCTTCCACTTAAAAAATGCTACGTAGAAAAGAGGTCTATAAAATTGTGCAAAATACCCAGCATTAATAAACCCGTTTCAAGTATTGCCAGCAAGAGGATAACCCACCCAGCCCAAGAACTGACTTGGGAGAGAGGTGGGGAGGCGGGGAGGTCAGACTGGGATCCCTTAGAGAACCCTCCATGGGTAGAGTGCAGGCAAGGCCCCCACTTCCTAGCGTGCTGCCCAGGAATCACGCAGGAGCCGAGGTCTTGGGTGCCTCGCTGGCTGGTTCAGCCTTCTCTGACACGGGCTGTCTCCCACCACCCCCAACTCTGCCCTATCCATCTAGAACCCCAGCTCTGTCCTATTGGCCGACGCCATACGAAAAAACACGAACGGAAGAAAGAACAATGGTCATCACAAAAAGAATGAAGGAGCCCACAAACCACAACAGCCCACGGAGGCATCCTCTCCCACAGCCCGCTGTCCAGAGCCGAATGCTCTTAGGTCCCACTTCACCCCCAGGACCCCAGCTGAGCAGAGCCCACCGGCCCCTCCACCTGGGAGGTATCGCACGCAGTCTGCACCCGCATTCACACAGGGCTCGCCCCGGCACAGACAGAGACTCGGCATGGTCCCCTCGTGGCCTCAGGGGCCCTGGCCTCTCTCTCTCCTGTCACTCCTGCCGCTGATCAGCTGCAGGGATCTAGGGCCCAAGGCTGTGGGAACCTGGGTTTGGGGAGCAGAGGGTACAGCCACGGAAGTGCGGGGCAAGCCACGCAGGGTGGGAAATAAATACGAAAAGAGTCTTTGGCGGCTCTGCTTCCCTTGGATGGAATGGGGAGGGTCCCAGCAGGTGTGGAGGGCGGCAGGTGAGTGCGGAGGGGTGGACAAGCCAGCAGGTGGCAAGTACCGAGCCCAGTTCAGGGGTGGCCTCCTACCATGCTGGCGTCAGGCTTGGCTCCGCAGGCTGGCTCATCGCTTCTGATGGGCGAGGGCAACACGGCGTCTGACTGCACAAATCCCCTCCGGTCAATGAGGCTTCCAAAACACAAGGGGGGACGTGAGGGCCCTGCCCAACACCAGCGGTCCAGGCCTGGGGCTGGACGGCAGAGTCCATTTTCCAGCCAAGAAAAGACCCAGCCCTAGAAAGCCTCAGAAAGGGGAGCTGATCTCCAGCTGGGGGCTCAAGACCCTTCCCTTCCAGAGCAGGGGAACCAGAAGGGCCCTCTCTGCACCCTGGACACCTGGTTTTGGACCACCTGATTGATGCACTGTGAATTCAAACCGGCCCATTTTTCGGTCTGGCTGCCACAAAGCCAGGCTGTGGGTGAGGGGAAAAGCAGGATGGAAGAGCATTTGGAAATAGTGCGATTCCCACTGTGACCTACCCCCACCCCCACTGCAAGGATGACACTCATACGAGGCAGGAGAAGTCGGGGACAGTGTGGGGAAGGTCTGGGTCCCGCAGTGCCCACTGCAGTGGAGCTCCTGTTCTGGCACTCTGGTGCCCCCTGGTGTGAAGACAAGGGCACTTCCCAGCAGGGCTGAACCCTCAGGGCGCCACCAGGAGGGAGGATGGAGACCCTGCCCGGTCCAGCCACCAGCACCGGAAGGGAAATGTTGCCCAAGAGTGGCCAAAACATTAATTGTGGTGATCACTGGGGAATAAGATTACATGTGATAGTTAGTACTCTTCTTTTTAAGATTTTGTACTCTATGTTTTTCTACAATGAGCATATGTGATTAAAAATTACACGGAATTCAGGGGCGCCTGGGTGGCGCAGTCGGTTAAGCGTCCGACTTCAGCCAGGTCACGATCTCGCGGTCCGTGAGTTCGAGCCCCGCGTCAGGCTCTGGGCTGATGGCTCAGAGCCTGGAGCCTGTTTGCGATTCTGTGTCTCCCTCTCACTCTGCCCCTCCCCCGTTCATGCTCTGTCTCTCTCTGTCCCAAAAATAAATAAACGTTGAAAAAAAAAAATTAAAACAAAAAAAATTACACAGAATTCGGGGCGCCTGGGTGGCTCAGTGAGTTAAACGTCCAACTTCGGCTCGGGTCATGATCTCACGGCTTGTGAGTTCGAGCCCTGTGTCGGGCTCTGTGCTGACAGCTCAGAGCCTGGAGCCTGTTTCGGATTCTGTGTCTCCCTCTCTCTCTGTTCCTCCCCTGCTCATGCTTTGTCACTCTCTCTCAAAAAAAAAAAAAAAAAAAAAAAAAAAAAAAAAAAAAAATTACACAGAATTCTTTTGTGTGATAAATGCCTTGAGTGCGCCCTGCAGGGGATGGTGGACAGAGGGCTTCTGTGGTGTGAAGAGAGGTCTGCTGCTTCCAGAACCTCTTTGAGAGGTGTGGACTCGCAGGGCTATCCCCCCACTGGCCGGGCCAGGCCCTATGACCTCTCCCCATGCTCACCCCTGGCTTACCTGGGAGGTAGGGGGCCGCAGAGCACAGCACAGCAGTTGGTGATAACACTTTTATGGCTGTAGGGATTGACGGAGGCCTCACCGCCCCTCTTGCTGGACCACGAGCCTTTGATCTGCCAGCAGGAAGGAGGTCTGAGTCAGGTACCTCCTTTTACTTCGATTTTCTAGGAGGGAGGTCTAGAGGCTGGGAAAAACTGGTGAGAGTTTTTCCAATTCTGGGTAGACTATTGGAGGGGACATGTCTTTAACTCAAGCTATTCAGTGCGTGTGGGGGACTGCTGGATGTCGGGGGCACCTAGCCGAGAGGAGGAAGCCCTAATCAGGACAGAGAGCAGCGCACAGCCAAAGAGAAGCCTCCAAAGGAAACTTCTTGGGTGCATCCTCCCTTCTCCGGCCAGCCACCTCTAAGGGAAGGTAGTATAAGGGGACAGAGCTCAGGCTGACCTGGCTACGAGCCCTGGCCCTGCCCCGACACACTGCATGACCCTGGACAGAGCACTTCCCTGAATCTCAGTCCTCATTTGAAAAACAGGGAACTGTGATAGCATCGTTGGAGATGAAATCTTGCCATCTCTAGATTTGTGAGGCCAGCTATCAAAGGCACTGAGGAGTTTAGCAACGAAGGATACTTGCTTGACTATTAACCCAGAGTTTCCCAAACTCATTTGGCTATAACACATCTTTTTGCTTAACCCCTAGTAACATCTTGAAGAACCAGCACCCACAAAACCGCCTTGGGAGATGCTGGCTGATGTCATTTCTGCTCTGTACCAATCATTCAGCACATGAAACCCTATCATGAGTGTTAAGTTCTGTTTCCCAGAATGAGAGGCTGAGGTCAAGAGATGTATTTTCTGTTGGTCATGGGCCTCTGAGCAGTATCTGATGGTGGCCCTGGCACAGATGCTGTCATTTGCTTTTTTATCGTTTGGGAGAAAAGAAGGAGAGGTCAGGTCGGGCCCGGGGCTGAGCACACAGTGGGCGCTCAAACAATGCTTGCTGGTGGGGGTCTGAAAGGCAGCAGGTAGGGAGGGTTGACATAGCCCCATAGTCCTATCCTTGCTGTCTCCCTCAATAAGGATGCCCAAGGGAACCCCAGGGGCACCCTGAGAATAGTCACATCTCTTTGCCTGTAAGTGCAGTGTAGTGGGGCAAGGGTAGCCAGGGCTTTTGGCCACAACCCTGACTCTGTCCCTTTCCGGCCGTGTGACCTTGGGGCAAGTCACTCAGCCATCAAACAGGAGAAAAAGCATCCCTGTTCCTTCTGCCTCAGAGTTGGCAAAAGGACCCAAAGAGATGATGGGAGCTGAAAGAACTCTGGAGACAGTTAACACGCAGGCCAAACGTAAGGACTGTTACGGTGGAGCACTGCCTCTGGGTTAGCGAGAAAGCCTGCGCGGAGGGGCCAAGGCACGTGGGGGCCTTAGAAGACCCTGTACTGGATCTCCCAGGGCCAAGCCAGAAGCACTGGAAGGCAATGTCTGGCCACCCTCTGTCCCCACCCGTGTTACCCCAGCAGCCCGAGTCAGGCGAGTCAGGCTGCTCTGCGGCCGCTGCAGGCCCCCTCTGCCCAGCCTCCTACCTTAGGGCCCCGCCTCCTGCCTAGGGCCCCGCCTCCTGCCTAGGGCCCCGCCTCCTGCCTAGAGCCCCGCCTCCTACCCAGGGCCCCGCCTCCTGCCCAGGGCCCCGCCTCCTGCCCAGTGAATGGAGGTTGCTCCAGCCTTACTCACGTCTTCGTTAGTTGTCAGGTTGGAGGCGACGAGGTAAGTATGAAACCCTGAGAGGCCCAGGATGGACCAGATGGAGAAGAAGCAGATCACCAACTCCAGCACAGTGAGCAGGGTGGTCAAGGACCCACAGCGGGACAGGGCTGGGGGCCTCCTCGGCCCCTGGAGGCCTGCCATGCCCAGCCCTTCTCACCTATCCTTCCGTGAGTGATTTCCCCAGAAAGGAGATGAGTTTGTAACCTTCCTGCGGTCCAGTCACCACTTCTCGACAGGATTACCTCCTGAGCCCTAAGAAGGGTTCGGGAGCCCATTCAAGAGCAGGACGGGTGATGGACAGTAGGGGGAACTGAAGTTGCCAGGCACCAAGAACCCCGCACAAGAACCCCGTCCCGGTTGCTTGGTGTCTTAAGGGAAGACAGGGACTGTGGCTCCTGAGGGTTCTTGGCCACCCCAGCCCTTTGATCAGACTGTTTAGGATCAGCTCTAGCCGGGGAGGAAAGAGAAGCAGCTGGTATATCAGATTATTCTAGAGGACAAACATTAGTGCTACACCATTCCCCCCCGGATTACAGGATGAGGTGTGGGGATCCACCCCAGCGAAGGGGCCTTGTTCCCACCAGGGCATCTATTGGCTGACAAAGGATATCTCGCTGGTGTCTCCTTCAGAGTGGAGAGGAAGTTGCTTCCCTGAGAGCCTGGGGAGGAGAAAACAGGACAGGGCACAGCTCAGATGGACAGTGACCACAGCCCCTTGACTTGGCAGAGCTTGCCGGCCCACCCCTCCTGCACACCCCTGCCCCCACTCCCAACTCACGCAGCGTCAGGTGGGTGACCACACAGGCGAAGATGAAGGCCGTCAGGAACGAGAGGGAGAGAATAAACGCGTAGAAGAAGCGGTAGTTCCGTCTCCCCACACAGTTGCCCACCCAGGGGCAGTGATGGTCAAACCGTTCTGGAAAAGGGCCCGGGGGGGTGGGGGGGTGGGGAGGGGAACAGGTTAGTGTGCCTGGGCTGCAACCAGCACAGGTGTTTGGAGGCCTCACGCCACAGCTGGGGCTTTCTTCCCCCACACTCTCTGTACCAGCCCATTCAGCCGATTCGCAGCTCCTCACACACTCCCTGCTTCTGGGCCTTTCTGCAAGCTTCCCACTGCCTCACACATTCTTCTCTGTCTCTTCACCTGGTTAAGGGCAATTCCTCCTTCATATCTCAGCTGCAAAGCCACTTCCTTAAGAAAGCCTCCTCTGATCCTAGACAAGGTGAGGGCCCTCTGTTACCTGCTGCTACTTATCTTCTGCGGCTCTTTACCCATGTGTGTTTACATACTTATTAATAATTAGCGGACTGGCCAATTACCCCTGCTGGATGGTAAACTCCACGAGAGGGCCGGTGTTGGCCTCACACCGAGCTGAGTCCCACGTCCAGCTGTGCATGGTACGAAGATGCACAAAAAGTACTTGTCGCCTGGCATACGACCCTGGCCACCTGCGACAAACAATGCTCCCCATTCCCTGCTCCAGAACTAGAGGCTCAGGGAGGGGCGGAGCCGCTCTGTAACTTGTGGAGAGCTGGCATGTAAGGCCTGGCCAGAGGGCTGAGCTCACACTAGCACCCCAGGGCGGTGGGGGGGGGGGGGGGGGGGGGGGGGCTGGTGTCACACCCAGACTGGTAATGAAAGTCCTCTGTGGGAATGTGGATCACAAGCCCACTGCAGACCTCCTACCATGGCCAGCACCCTTTGCGGATTCTCAGGGAAGAATAACGCCCACTGAGTCACCCACTCGGCTGCCTGCTGTCATGGGGTGTTCCCTACTGTTCTCTCAGGGAGTGCTGAGCTAGCGTGATGAGCTCACTGCCCTGGGGACCATGCTCAGTCACCATGGCTCAGCTCACCTGGATCCTCTTACATAGCATTTCCCTTATGACACCCTTCCAGGGGCACACCCTCGGTCCCCATCAGAGCTGCCCGGCCTCTGGAGAGCAAGAAGAGGAGACAAAACAGCCTCTGGTTCCCCAGCAACCACCACAGGTGTGGGCCTGGAGCTTAGCTTCCAATCCTGGCTACATCCTCTCTACCTGACTGGCTTGAACTCCTCTGTTCTCACATTCTTGTCCCTCCCAAACCCTGGGAATCAGATCAAAGTCATTCAGTATAGCTGGCTCTGGGCTGCTGGATGGTAAATCATTCTCTTTCTGGCCCCAAAGTATCTAGAATGTTATTGCTCTAGTCTCTGGTTCCTAGAAACTTGGACCTACTGAGGACCAGGCTGAGGCCTGGGAGAAGGGTCCAGGGTCTCTCTGTATCTCCCCCATACTTCAGAGCTGGGGGAAAGGAATCTACCAATCCTGGGCTGAGGCCAAGATACCACTGGTCACACTCTGAGCCTCTCCCCACAGCCCTTCCTCAATCAGAGCAAATTTGGGTGACTTCCTGCCCAGCTCTGGCTATTTCAGACACAACCCCGCCCCCATGAGTGACTCCTCTGTCTTCAGGGCTCCCTGCACCACTCCCTGCTGCCTCCCACTTACCCACACAGTTGTCGCAGACACTGCAGTGTGAGGTCCGGGGTGGCCGAAACATCTTGCAGGTGAAGCAGTACTTCAACTTGACCATCTGCCCGTTGATCATCACCTCCCGGGTCCGAGGGGGTGGCCGGTACGTGGAACTGCCTGTGTTATCTGGGGGTGGGAGGACAGAAAGATGGGGAATGTCCAAGCCCAGAGCCAGAAGCCCCAGCTGGGTGGAAGCCACTGCTGCCTGGCACGGACAAGAGAAGCCTTAGGGAAACTGTTTCCTGGGAACAAGCCATTGGCGGGGCCAAGACGGGGACAGATATTAAGAGCTGCTACCTACCGAAATTTGCTGTGTGCCAAGCCCTGTGCTAAAGCATTACCCACGTGCTCATGCACTGCTGGTCTTATACAACTTTGAGAAGGCGACTCTGGGAAGACTGGGGGAGGTTTATCTAGTCAAGCCTAGACCTAAGTTCCAGTTTCTAGGAGGTACAGGGGATGGAAGACAAAGTAAACAACACTATGAGAAAACAATCAGATCCAGGATGTGGGGCACCTACAACACCACTGATCCTGATGTCTAACAAAATCCACGTCACTTACAAAGAGAGGGAGATTGTTCTAAATGAAGAGACGTGAACACATGCAAGGCATGATTCTAGACCGGATTCTGTCTTGAATTTGGTGGGTGAAAAAGGCCTATAGATTAGAAATTTGGGAACTATTAATTTTCCTAGCTATAATAACGAAATTAGGGTTATGCAGGAGGTTGTCTTTAGATTTTGAAGACACAAGTTGAAGTATTTATGGATACGGTGTCTATGATAGCTACAATTTACTATGAAATGGCTTCATAAGAATTGTAAGTACAGGGGCACCTGGCTGGCTCAGTCAGTTAAGCGTCCGATGTCGGCTCGGGTCATGATCTCACGGTTCGTGAGTTGGAGCCCTACCTCGGGCTCCATGCTGACAGCTCGGAGCCTGGAGCCTGCTTTGGATTCTGTGTCTCCCTCTCTCTGCCTCTCCCCTGCTTGCACTCTGTCTCTCTCAAAAATAAATAAACATTAAAAAAAAAAAAAAAAAGAATTGTAAATATAGGGGCGCCTGGCTGGCTCAGTCGGAAGAGCACGCAACTCTGGATCTCGGGCTTGTGAGTTCGAGACCCATGTTGGATGCAGAGATTACTTAAAAATAAAATCTTAAAAAAAAAAGAACTACAAATATATATGACACAAATAAGATACACTAATAACAACTATTAAATCTAGATGATGAACATGCATAATTATATTGGGGCGCCTGGGTGGCATAGTCGGTTAAGTGTCTGACTCTTGGTCTCAGGTCATGATCTCACAGTTTGTGAATCTGGGGCCTGCATCTCGCTCTGCGCTGATGGCACAGAGCCTAGTTGGGATTCTGTCTCTTCTTCTCTCTGCCCATCCCCCGCTGGTGTGCGCGCATTCGCTCTCAAAATAAATAAATAAACTTAAAAGAAAGAAACTCATTGTATTTCACACTTTTCTGGATGTTTGAAGTTTTTCATAATAAAAATTTTAAGAGGAAAAGAAATGCAGAGATATATTGCATTCATGGATTAAAAGACACAATTTTAGAAAAGGTTTTATTCTCCCTAAATCAATCTGTAGATCAACATAATCCCAATCAAAAATCTCAGTATGGTTTTTTTTTTTTGGGGGGGGGGGAGGGTTGAAATTGACAAACTCGTTATAAAATTCATATGGAAATGCAAAGGGCCAAAGACAGCCAACGCATTCCTGAAGGACAAAGCTAAGGACTCCTATGACTAGAGATCAAGACTAATGATAAAAAGCTAATGATTAAGAAGGTCTGGTTTGGGTGCGAGGGTAGAAATGCCGATCAATGGAACAGAAAAGAGAATCCAGAAACAGACCTGGCACGTAAATGACCAAGTGGTTTACGACAAGGGTAACACTGAAGTGGTGTGAAAGAAAATGGGCCCCCAATAAACAGTGCTGAGTCCACTGGGTAAACAAATGGGGGAAAAAGCATCTGTATCCTGCCTCCCACCAAACACAAATTCAATTTCAGACAGATTGTAGCTCTAAATGCAAAAGCCTGGGATTAAAAAAGAAAAAAAAAAAAATAGGAGACATGACTGTGGAGCAAAGATTTCTTAAGACCCAAAGGGGCAAATCATAAAAGAGCAATTTGGTATAACTGCATCACATCAAAATTAAGAACTTCTTTTTCTTTAAGTATATTTGAAAGAGAGTGTGAGCCGGGGGAGGAGGAGAGAGAGAGGGAGAGAATCCCAAGCAGGCTCCATGCTGTCAGCACAGAGCCCAACATGGGGCACAATCTCACAAGCTGTGAGATCATGACCTGAGCTGGAATGAGGAGTCGAACGGGTAACTGACCGAGCTACACAGGTGCCCCCAAAATTAAGAACTTTTTTTTTTTTTTAAATTTTTTTTTTCAACGTTTATTTATTTTTGGGACAGAGAGAGGCAGAGCATGAACGGGGGAGGGGCAGAGAGAGAGGGAGACACAGAATCGGAAACAGGCTCCAGGCCCCGAGCCATCAGCCCAGAGCCCGACGCGGGGCTCGAACTCCCGGACCACAAGATCGTGACCTGGCTGAAGTCGGACGCTTAACCGACTGCGCCACCCAGGTGCCCCAAAAATTAAGAACTTCTATCTGGGGCACCTGGTTGGCTCAGTTGGTAGCACATGCAACTCTTGATCTCCGGGTCGTGAGTTTGGCCCCATGTTGGACATAGCAATTACTTAACAAAAATAATAATAACTTGTGTTCATCTAAAGACACAATTAAAAAAATGAGGGGCGCCTGTGTAGCTCGGTCAGTTGGGCTCCGACTTTGGCTCAGGTCATGATCTCACTGTGAGTTCAAGCCCTGCATCGGGCTCTGTGCTGACAGCTCAGAGCCTAGAGCCTGTTTCAGATTCTGTGTCTCTCTCGCTCTTTGCCCCTTCCCCTGTCATGCACTGTGTCCCTCTCTCTCAAAATAAATAAACCTTAAAAAAAAAAAGTCTTAAAAAAAAAAATGAAAAGGTGACCTTCAGAGTAGAAGATTTGAACAAGAACAAAGCATTTGTAGCCAGAACATATGAAGAATCCCTATACGTCAGTAAGAAAAAGTTCAGACATCTCAATTCAAATGTGGACAAAAGATTCAAACAGGTATTTCATAAAAGAAGCTGTCCAATGGCTAATAAACACATGAAAAGGTATTCATGCTCATTAGTCTTCAATGAAATGCAAATAAAACCATAAAATGTTACCACCACACATGTACCAGAATGGCTAAGATGAAAACAATTTTAAAAATCAAGTGTCAGTAAAAATGTAAGGCAACCAGAAATCTCATAACCACTCTGAAAACCTATTTAACACTAACCACCAAAGTTCAACATATGCACCCCCAGCAAGCCCACTCCTAGGTATCTCCCCAACAGAAATGTGCATGATTAAAAAAAAATTCTTTAAAAAAATTTTTTTTAAGTTTATTTATTTTTGAGAGAGAGAAAGAGAGAGAGACGGAGCTCGAGGGGGGAAGGGCTAGAGAGAGAGGGAGACACAGAATCTGAAGCAGGCTCCAGGCTCCGAGCTGTCAGCACAGAGACCGACGCGGGGCTTGAACTCACGAACCGCGAGATCATGACCTGAGCCAAAGTCGGACGCTTAACCGACTGAGCCACCCAGGCGCCCCATAAAAATAATTTTTTTAAGTAAACTCTACACCCAACATGGGGCTCAAACTCATGACCCTGAGATCAAGAGTCACATATTCTCTGACTGAGCCAACCCGGCCCCCTGAAATGTGCAAGATTTGATGTGCACCAAAAGATGTACAGGAATATTCACAACAAGAATCTCATAATAGCCAAAATCTGGACCCACCCAAATGCCCATAAATAGAACAGATTAACAAAAGGTAGTATGGAGTTCTGTAGAGCAAAGAATGAATGATCCTCAACCACACATAAGAACTATGGATAAATCTCATAAACGTGTAAAGTGAAGAAACCACACACGTAAGAACACAAAATGTTCAAAAACAACTAAAAGTAATCTAATATGGTAGCAGTCAAGATCATGGTCACCTCTGGAGGGGTGACACTGACCAGAAAGGCAAGGGGGAGCTCCTGGGACACTGCTCATATACTGTTTCTTGATCAGGGTGCTGATTACATGTGTGTGTTCAGTTTGTGAACACTCAACAGAACACTTAGGATTTGTACACTTTTTTGTAAGCCCATTATATTTCAGTAAAAACTTAACAAAAAGAAAGATTTAAGGGGCTCAGCTGGTTGAGCGTCTGAGTTCAGGCTCAGGTCATGATCTTGCAGTTTGTGGGTGGGTTCGAGCCCCACGTCGGGCTCTGTGCTGACAGCTCAGAGCCTGGAGCCTGCTTCGGATCCTGTGTCTCGCTCTCTCTCTGCCCTTCCCCTGCTCGTGCTGTGTCTCTCTCTCAAAAATAAATAAACATTAAAAAAAACATTTTTTTTTAAAGAAAGAAAAGAAAGGTTTAAGTAACTTGTGCAAAGTCACAAACTCATATGCTGGCAAGCAGGAATCCAAACACCTGGTCTCTCATATGCAAAAGCCCACAATTCTACCCACTGAGCCTCTTGGTCTCCCAGACCTCAAAGGACCAAAGTCCCCAGGGCAGTGGCTTATTTCTGGACAGAACCTGAGAATCACATGAGGCTGCCTGTGATCCCTAGCCCTTTACTATGCTCCCAGCCATCACTTCTACCAGATCCACTCCCCAGATAGTATCTCCAGTTTGGCCACCTGCCTCCAATGATTACTGAGTGTCCGGCAGGTGCCAGGCACTATTCTAGGCACTTGGCATGCATCAATGAAGCACACAGACTTGTGTCTCACATTCCAGTTACCAAACAGACTCTTTCTTACTCTAGGCTGTTCACCATCCCCCCAACCATAACATGTTTAAAATGGAACTAAGCAGGGGCCCCTGGGTGGCTCAGTTGGTTAAGCGTCCAACTTTGCCTCAGGTCATGATCTCATGGCTTCTGAATTTGAGCCCTGAGTCGGGCCCTGTGCTGACAGCTCAGAGCCCGGAGCCTGCTTCAGATTCTGTGTGTGTCTCTCTCTCTGCCCCTCCCCAACTCGCACTCTGTCTCTCTCTCAAAAAT